AAATTCAAACTTTTCAACAGAAAGATGGAGAAAGCTATCACGAGGCATGGAATAGATTTAATGAGCTGATGAGAAAATGTCCAAACCATGGAATCACTCAAGGAAATCAAGTGCAGTACTTTTACACTGGACTCACACCACTGTCAAAATCCCAAGTCGATGCCTCAGCTGGAGGATCAATTATAGGAAAATCTGTGCAGCAAACCATGGAACTGTTTGAGTTGATTGCCACTACACATTCAATGTTCTCGTCGGAAAGAGTGGCACCATCGAAGACAGGAGGAATGCATGAATTAGACAGCACAACATCTACCAATGCACAGATAGCAGCTTTAACAAAATAGGTAGAGTTACTTGTAAAATTGCAAACACATGGAGCAAATGCAATGACGGCCAGTTCAGTATGTGAGAATTGTGGGAGAAGTCACCCTACAGAGAGATGCATGATGCTCACGTCTTCAAAGGAACAAGTAAACTTTATTCAAAATAGCTCCCGTAATTTCAACTCATATGGTAACAATTTCCAGCAAGAGAAAAGACCAAGTTTGGGGGAGATGTTTCAACAATATGTGCAGAAGACAGACAAGGTGTTCCAACAAATAGACACGAACTTTCAAAATCAACAGGCATCCATCAAGAAACTGGAGATACAAATTGGTCAGATAGCACAACAACTTGCAGAACATCCACAAGGCACATTGCCAAGCAATACAATGATAAATCCTAAGGAACAGTTGATGGCAATTGAAATAGTGGAGAACGATCCACCCAGGGCCTCCGTAAAAGTTAAAGCATATGTACCTCCACTTCCGTTTTCCCAAAGACTTCGAAAGAAGTCGATGGAGCAAAATATTCATGTCATAAATACAAAGAGCGAGGTATAATCACCAGAGACCACTACAGAGAGACCCGAAAGAAAAGATGACCAAGAAGTGATTGATGAAGCTACAATGGTAGAAAAATCTACAACAAATGCAACTGAAAATAGAGAAGGTACAAAAACATCAGTTGCCAAAGCACCAAGTCTAGACAAAGCTTACATGCCTCCCATTCCCTTTCCTCAAAAGCTCAAGAAGAACAAACAAGACACAAACTATGAAAAATTTCTCGATGTTCTCAAGAAGCTCCAGATCAATGTTCCGTTCATAGATGCAATACTACAAATTCCAAGCTATAAGAAATTTTTGAGAGAGATGTTGACAAAGAAAAGAAAGCTTCCGAAGTTTGAAACTGTGGCATTAACTGAGGAAAGTAGTGCAAGAGTCCAGAGAAAATTGCCTCCTAAATTGAAGGATCCAGGGAGTTTTACTTTACCAGTTTCAATTGGAAATTCCTATTCAACTAATGCATTGTGTGACACTGGTGCTAGTATCAATCTAATGTCGTATTCTACTTACAGGAAATTGGGACTAGGTGAAGTCAACTTAACATCAATAACGCTACAACTCGCTGATAGAACAATCACAAGGCCACGTGGCAAAGTTGAGGATGTATTCGTTAAAGTAAGAAATTTAATATTTCCCGTGGATTTCATTGTATTGGACATACCAGAAGATCGAGACATTCCAATTATATTGGGTCGACCATTCTTAGCAACGGGACGAACCCTTATTGATATGGAGAAGGGAGAACTAATCTTGAGGGTAGAGGACAAGCAGGAGATATTCAATATTTACATCCAATATGAAAAACCTCCCAATAAAAATAATTGCTATAGAATTGATGAAGAAGAGCCACCTGATCAACGAAACTGTCAGAATAAAACAACAAATTTTGGAGAACTT